AGTGTATATATAGAATTAGAGAAATTTATAAAATCACTTCTAAAATTTTATTGCCATGATTTCAAAATCAGTTAAAATGGAGGTTATTGCTTAAAAACTACAAACATCATATTTTCTATTGAAATATAGATTGCGCTTTCCCTCCTGCCTTTATTTTATTCCGCGATTGGCGCTGTGAATGTGGGTGTTTTTTTTTCAAACAATTGGATTATTGGTGAAAAATAAACAATTTAAAAAAAAAATTTTTTTTAAAAAGAAAATTTCCTTATCTTTGAAGAAAAATGTATTGCATTGCTATCCTTCTCTTGCACACGAGGTTATATTGATTACAGTAAAGTAAGCTTGAAAAATATCTATTTTTGATCAGTTTTTTATGAGAAACGTAAGTTATTCTTGTGACGTTTTAAAAGTTTTGAAAGTTTTGTGATGTTTCTCAATATTTCTCATTTTTAGGTTTTTAAAATAAGTAATATTTAAGTAGTATTGATATTTATTTTCAATACGATTTTCCACAAATTCCACAAGCTCAATTTTTTTTATTTTTAAGTCAACAGAAAGTTTGTTTTATTGCCTTGCAGGTGCATATGTTTGGTTGTTTTTTAATAATTTAAGGGCTTCATGTACATTTTGATACATATAACAGTTTTCTTTAATTAATTTTTTTTAGTTTGATTTGCAGCAAATGTGCGTAAAAAATACAAATCTCATATTCGCACTTGAAAAATAGATCGCGCTTTTCCTCCTGCCTTGACTTTACTCCGCATTTGGCGCTGTGGATGTTCACACTTGTTTTTCGTACTAATTATTTTTTTTCAGTAAAAAATTAACAATTTAAAAAAAAAATAATGTGAATAATGTAAATAACGTGAATGTGCGTACGTTTTTTTGATTTTCATTTTTTTGGAAAGGTAATTTGTTGATCTTTAAAAAAAAATGTTTTATGGCAATTGAATTTTTGCATTCGATGTTATATGGGTTAGGGTAAGGTGAAAAATGATAATTTTTTATTAGTTTTTTTAGAATAAAAATAAAATATTCGGTTGCTCCAGTCAATTATAGTCGATGATTGATCATAGAACATTTTTTGCGATGCAACGAAAAATAGCCGAACCATATCATTATCCGCTTAATTAAACACTATATTCCTCAATATACTTTATCAATATACCTTATATATAATCCACTAAAATAGATTAAAGAACTCTAAACTCGCTATATTCCTGCAAAAATGTCATGAAATCGATAAATATTGAATTCAATTTGTTTTTTTTTCTGTAGTTCTGGATTATTTACTACAAAGTCATTTAAAATGCAATAAATGCGAGTTCTTTCCGTTAAAGTACTTTGCACTTAAGCAAATTAATTTATACAGGCAGATATACTACTCCGCTTCTGTACACAAACAGAAGCGGATACATTGAAGGTTGGATAAATAAATACAAAAATCTCTGAAGATTTCGACCAATTGTTGATTGCCGGCTACGTTCACACACGCATACATTATTGAATGCTTGTGCGTCATTGGGATAAAATGCTTCCTAGACTGTTCACTGATATCAATATGAGAGCGCTTTCTTTAACGGCTTCTTTAAGTGACTTTGTTACGTTTTTGTCAGGGTATAAAGAAAACATAAATCATTAAGTTAAACAGTTCCAAGGACTTTTCAAAGGATGTCGAATATTTGTTCTGCTCTGTTGTGTTTGCTCTGTTGTCTTCTCTACATTTTAAGCATTTGAGTTGCATATTTTGATTGCGCCACTTGTGGGGAATACATCGACTACACCCACCAGTTGATTCAACATTTATTCTTATTTGATACGTAAGGTTTGACCTAAATTCGTTTTACTCTTAAGAGTTCTTCGAAATTTTTTCTTAGTTGCCTGTCGCAGAAAGCATGACTAGGAATTATTTGTTGTTTAATCTAAAATGTAAACTGAATTAAGTTGCGTCATTCAAAGAAAATTTCATGAAAATCTAATTAGAACAGATTTTTATTTCTGAATTCAAAAATAAAAGCAAAATTTATTATACTAAAGTTGAAATAAAAAAATTTGAATCAAGTATCTTTTCATTTTGGATATACTTACGGGTGTAAACTGTAGATTCTGCAAGGAGAATGAGGAGTCGACCACACATGTGTTGTTAGAACACCCTGTGGTAATATACATACGGAATAGGCTCCTGGGAATGTATATTCTTACGGAAGAGGCAATAATACTCCGTAAAGTAGGTTCTATACTACTTTAAATTGACGCAACATAACTTAGAGACCTATTCTAAACCCAGAAGGCGGAACAATAGATCAGTGCCAAATTCCCTAACAATAATAATAATCTTCTTTTAATTTTAATTTAATTAAAAAAATTCAAAACGCAATTTTATCCCAACTTAAGTATTTACAAATCACTTTTTTGGATATTAAAGGGAGCTTTTTTCAAAATTTCTAATAAAACACAGCTCATAATAATTTCGTATACTCTAGTTTGTTATGTAGGGTCTCTCTCTCATATATCTATTCTCTTTACACTAAAGCTGGTTCTACACAGTTTTACTGCAGTCTTTCTAGTTGTCATGTTTTGAAATATACAGATCGAAGAATTTTATGTTTAGTAATATATTCACATGCTAGGGTTTAAAGACAACCTTCTCTTTTTCAAGTTTTTTATATATATATATATCTTAGGAGTTTGGATTTCTTAAAGAAACAATATTTAAGAAACAATATTTCTTGAAATATAATTTAACAGCAATGCCGATCTGTAGAAATACGTGACCAACGTACTTATTATCTATTAACTTAATTTTTCATTTAGGAAAATTTTGTTGTGTAGTTTCGTTATCAGCTTTTCTGGCTCATTAAAATGTTAAACACTCGATAAAAGACATTAGTTAAAATTGTTTCGCAAATCACGTTTCTGATAAATGTTACATCCTCCGTGTATTTTGCAATTTGTTGGTTTTCATTTTAAAAATATTGTGTAAATGTGGTGCTAATGGAATTATCGAAAATTGATTCATTCTTGCTTTTTGTTCTTGCCTTACATATTTACTATTTCGATAACAAAATAATTGTAATTAGCTACACCAGATACTTTTCGGTATAGACATTTAAAAGCGATTTTTTCTTTCCTCAAACCCATTTCTTTTTATCTATGCGTATCTCCCCGTCAATCGTGTGTATATTTTACTTTGTTTTAAATTTTACTATTTCTGGCCTATTTAGTTAGCTATTTATTTATATCTGAATATAATAATTACTATAATAATTATAATAATGATCATAATAATAATAATTAATTATAATTATAATAATTATTTCCAATAATAAGACTTCTCTAACTGTACCGTTAAAAAAAAATTGAATTAAAACTATCTTTACGTATCTAGGTACGTACCCATCCAAAGTTAATTCTTTATACATGAAACGCTATAATTTATGATTAGTTTTGACTTAAAAAAAAATTATTTTTCAAACTGAGAAGGAATTTAATTCATGGACTTACAAATATCTTAACAACCTTTCGGTCAACTTGTTGTTATCATTAAACGTTACCCTAGTCTGTAACAACACTTCAGCATTTTTGTACTATTCAATCTGTGGAATATATTAAGTATAAACATTAATTATATGTTAGGTGCTACGATTTAAAGAACTGTTGTCACATCTGGCTCGGTTTTGGTTTACATATCCTTAATGAGGTTACTCTTGAATTTCGAGAAGCTTCTCTTTATGGCATATTTTTCACTTAACGCCCGCCACATTTTTGTGGTTATTATTGTAACTTCAAATTGATTCTTCAATTAAATGACTCTCTTCGACGCGTCCTAATAGCAAATGGGAATACTTCAAAGGGAGTGATACTTAATCATTGTTGGCTAAACAAGTCGTGGCAAAAAATATATCACACCGTCAGCCGATTTTTCTCTCATATATTCATATCAACTATTATAATTATATTACTACTACTAGATACTGCAGATAATACTACTATGTTAGCTGTACTTTTTATGTACCTGTCGCCCAGTACTTACTATTCACAGAGTCCTTGCACTCAACTGATAGTGACACAATATAAGACTAGTTTGAGTTATTTATTATCTATTTGAGTTCAGCATTTAACCTTAAATTCAGCAAAAACACAACAATCTATAATATGTATCCGAAGAAGTTGCTGGGAAATCAAATGACAAGCAGTATCGAATCAGGGCCTTGTTGATTCATGTTTCATTTAAATCCCAAATATGTTTGAGTGGCCAAGTGGCTATTGAAGCGTAAAACAGCCATATTCGGTTATATTTTTAAATTTATTACTACATTCATTACCTGTATCCTACATTCTGTGTTTTTGTCTGTTATTAGAAACAATCAAAATGCTTTATTATTGCATATCAAATAAAAGCCATTCTGAAATCAATTTCACTAGTTTTTCATTTTTTGCTACATCTGAAGTAAATTTGAGCCTTACCTCATGCTTCGATTATCATTTCAATACTAACACTAAAAGTACGTATTTATTCTGATGTGAAAACTCCACAGTTTCAAAGAATGGAACTGTAATCAATTTTAATAGGTCGATAAATATTTCCTAGTAATTCGAAGTAAAGAAACTTTATCGGACCACTTTATCAGTCTCTGTTATTATAGTGATTTTTGCAGGTGCGATGCTTGAAAACCATCGATAGTTAGGACACTTGAAAAGTATTTAAACCTCCTAAAATAGAAGGATTCGAATTTTTTAAGAGATTCAAATTTATCGTATATCGCCAATTCAATGAATTTCTTAACAAGTTATCACTTTCATTGCCAGCAAAAAGTGTTCTGACACAACTTTGATTAGGATATAATCATGTGTTCTAAAAAGTTTTTGATGGAGTATACGCCCATTAATTTCTAATATTTGCTCAATTTTTAATACCAACACGAAAAAAATTGTTTTTCTCCAAAAAACAATTTCTAAAAATGTTTTTTTTATTAAATAAATATTTTTCATTTATTTAGGAATTTGCCTCGAGCTATTTGGATTGCCATGCCATTGGTTACCGGAATTTATGTACTTGTAAATTTGGCATATTTTGCGGTCGTTTCAAAAACGGAAATGTTGAGTTCACTCGCTGTAGCTGTAACATTTGGTAATAGAGTGTTTGGACCGTTGGCTTTTTTAGTTCCGATATTTGTAGCCCTAAGCACTTTTGGAGGCGTTAATGGTATACTCTTTACCTCTGCTAGATTGTTTGCTACTGGCGCACAGGAAGGTCATTTACCAAAATTCTTTCAACTTTTCCACGTTAAACAACAAACTCCAATTCCATCATTAATATTCTCTGTAAGTACCATGATTCGTAAGTCATACACATATACATATAAGAAGGACACTACTCCATGCAACGGTTTTCTCTTTTCCTTGTAGTGCAAACGTTATCTTTAATGTCTTTATCTTTATTTTAGTTTTTATCCCTATCTTTATCTCTATTTTTATCTCTATCTCTAAGATTAAGATTAAGAATCCAATCTCAATTCCAATTCAAATCTAAATCTTAATCCCAATCCCAATCCCAATAATAATCTTAATCTTTATCTTTATGTTTGTAATTTATTTTAGAGATACTGCAAACCTTACACATTGCATATATTTTTGACCAGCCGTTTGTTTTAGCAAATTATTTTAAAATGTTTTTTATTATTACTATTATACCATATTATTATTATAGAATATATTATTTTTGTTAACAACCATTTACTTTTTCCTTTTTCAGTGTATCATGTCACTGCTGATGTTGCTCACTGCCAATGTTTATGAACTGATCAACTACTTCAGTTCCGTTTTATGGTTGTCTGTTGTGGCCAGTATTGCTGGAATGCTCTGGTTACGTAAAACTATGTTCGTATATTACTTTTTGTATTGATAATATCTAACAAATTAATTTTTTTTTCGCAGGCCAAATATACCACGTCCTATCAAAGTTAATTTAGCACTGCCAATCATTTTCATAATATGTTGCATTATTTTAGTGTTGATGCCTAGCTTCTACAATCCCACAAATCTACTTGTTGGTATAGGTATTACCTTGGCCGGCATACCATTCTATTATGTGTGCATTGCTTGGAAGGACAAACCTCAATGTTATGGCCGCTTATCTGGTGGTATGGTGAATTTCTGCAGAGCTATGTTCAATACTACAATCATTGAGGGTAACGAAGAAGTACAAAATAAGTAACAAACTCGAATTTCAAAGAAACCAAAAAAAAGCAGAACTATATCAACTATTTTAGTATGTAAAACCATAAAAGCTATGACTTAGATATTGCCTGATATTTTCAAATGATATTTCACACAACCTACATTCAAGTTCTTGCTTAACGTGGTCACTTTAATATTTTATATTAGGTGTATTCGGTTGTTCCGAAGTGTGGCAAAAACACCAAGTTGCATGCTTAAAGTCGCTAATATGTACGCAAAATAACACCACTACTCTCTCTATCTAATCGACTAGTTGTGAAGTGGCTTAACATCTTAGCGACTGTAGAAAAAACCAATTTAAAAATTATGAAATTGAAATATTTTAGAAATATACTAAATTATAGAAAAAAATTCTTCTGAAATATACAAAAATTCTTAAGAGTACATAAAGAAAGTATAATTGGAAAGCGCTTTAAATTTTTTTAACTTATTAGTTGCTAACAGGTTAATATTTATGCAGGCATAAATATTCCAAACAATTATTAATTTTGTTGGAAAAAGAAATTTTAAAATTTCTTGCATTCTTAACATTGCTTTTGGCTCATAATTCATTTTATTTTTCAATTTTATATTAATTATTTATTTTTATACAAGATATATATGTGTAGTTTGCATGTTTATTATGTGCACATTTGTACGATTTGGTCTTTGCGAAAAGCTAACATTTAACAGATTTTAACAGTGATGCCAAATTTCACTTAGAGACTTTAAGCAAGCGACTTGTTGTTTTTTGCCATACTTCGGAGCGGTCGAATACATCTATTATTAGAAAAGTAGCTTATGTTTATCGAGATCTACAAAGACAAGTATTTAGTTTAGTATTAAGATTATAATTTATATTAATTTTTGTATACATTTATATACACAAGTTTATATAATAGCTTTTTTAAATGTTCATATTAATATTTTTTAAAATGGCTTGCATTTATTTTGCTTGCGACATTTTTAGGGAATTTTTAATCTAATATTAAAAGAGTTACAAAAATTTTGAGTTAGAAAATAAAAGTTTAATTGTGAAGTGATCTAAAGTAATAGTTAGGCGTATATATATATCTATGTTTATTTATATATATACATATATAAGTATATATATACGTATATATTAAAGAATATAAAAATCTCAATGTAAATGTGCATTTTGTACATGTATTCTGAAATCAATCACGCTATATATCTCTCTACATGTAGTTATATATTTACTGAAGCAAAAGAATTAAAATTTATGCAAAATATTAATTCGTTTTTGAATTTATAATACTTATTTTAGTTTTATACTGTATGGAGTTTTTTAAACATATATCGTAATTCTACTTAATTACTTAATCGACATATTTTAATTAATTAAAACCACACTGAATGTGTTTTTTTTTCTTATGACTAACATTTTAAAATTATACTTTGTTCAGACAGTCAAATTTCCTTAATTTTGTAAAAATGAAATTAAGTTAATTTCGAAACTGTTTGTACCAAGTTAAGGAAATCATATGTTTTTTGTTCACAAATCGGATGTTAAAAATTACGTGCTTAAAATATCATTTGTATTTGTTAAATTTTAAACGTATATAAAAGTATTAGGCATTCAGTAGTTTTATTAGCTTTAGTCGAATTCAGGTATGTGAATATTATTGTATTATTTTTATTTTTAATTTATTAACAATCACAGTTTTTTCAGTTTTTACTTTCAAAATATTTTCCCGGTTTTATTGAAGTCAACTGTGACAGACAATTATTAAAAAAAAATTCATTTGAACTTTATCTATTCCTTAAAATTTATTTATCCTTAATTTCGCAGAAACGAAGATGAAATTAAAATTTTTGCGAAATTAAGGTGTGTCTGAACATAATATAAGACTACTTGAAAATTTACATTAAATATAAAATCGTGAGACAACTTTCCATTCGAGGGAACTTTTTCTGGAAACCACAATCATGACAATTAAAATAATCCGAAAAGGTTGACTAACAAAAATTTAAACAATAATAAAGTATCGGACAATACAAAATTAAGAAATGATTAGAAAATTCAATTAATGAGATATTACTCGTAAAGAAAACGCATTTGATTCATTATTCAAAAATTTATTTGTTTTACAGAAAAGAAGTATAAAAATAAAACTAATTTTCTAGAATTCCTGATATCAATAATATTCTATTTTATATCTCAAGGCGCTGTGACCATACAGTTATAGAAAATATTCAATCAAAATTATAAGTATATTTGTATAAGATACAAATTATACTTGAAAACACCTTTAAATCAAATAAGTTAATGTTTTAGCAGAAACGACAAAACTTCAATGGAAGTGGTAAGATGAAGTGGTCTTATGAACTGAGAAAACTAGATCGACTACTGATGCTTAACTAGAATATAAAGAATGACTGCAGCAAGTAATATATATATATATTTAGTATCATATTTATTTAAATATTCTCCTATAATGAACGATATGTCAGGGGGAGAGACAACGTTCTGATTTCGGATCACATAGATGAATGCTATGTATATTTGTATAGCCATATAAGTATCTATTTGAACTGTGACTGTTAAGAGTAGTAAGCTGTACTTGATCGTCTTGGTAGACGAGTCGATCGGAGAGGCAGACCTGTCCTATAAGCCGAAATACCCTAATCTTATCCATATAGATCATTTTTTAATCCATTAATTTTTTCTGCTCGATTGGTTCTTTTGAGGTACAACAACAACAGCCATTACAGTAAAAGGTAATTTATTAATTGTTAAGAAATGATTTTCGTATATTTCAGGAAAAATAAATCGGCAGTGATAGATTTTTTTATTTAACAAAGGAAAACCAATAGTAAACCAAATAAAACAAAACAAAGTTTAAAATAATTAGATGAGTATACTGACATCATTCATCCAAATCATTTATGAGAAACGTTAGCAATTTCAAACACAAAAATAAATAGAGGTAGAGATAAAACACATTATTACACAGTAGCTTATTATTAATTATTAAAAAATATTGCTATGATTATATTTTTACAATGTTAAATTGAAATAGTAAATAAATAATTGGAATTTAAAAATATATAGATAAATAAACGAAACAGACTTATAAACTTATATAGAAATAGGTTTAATGTTAATAGGAAAATAGATTCCTATTAATTGAATAGAAAAGTTGAAAACTATTACAAGAGTATTATTGTAGGTATATATGTATAATTAAACCAAAACTTCTACTACGTTTACATTGTGAGATTAAGAGAACGAGATTAAGTTAATTTGCATTTTTAATTTCCATCGTTTATATTATAAATTGGAGATTAATTTCGACGTTTCTCTTCGTGTGGTTGATAAATTTCTGTAAATAAAGCATTAATTCACAATTTTGTAAAAAAAAATTGTAAAATAAATTTAATAAATAGATTTATAACAATAATTTGCCAAATTTTAGTTATAATTATCTACAAAACTATTATTAAACAAATTTAGTAAAAATTTACTCACTTCGGCATTTTCAAATGTTCAATATTTGTTTTGAGTAGATCTTGATATCACTTTTCCAATTCTTCTAAGATCGTAAAAATATCTACGATATTAAAACATTTGCAGAGTTGCAAAGAAAAATAATCACCATTTCGAAGGAGATTTAAAATTAATCTCGATCAAAAGGAAATTAACTTTTGTATGGGAAATCTGAGATTAAACAACGAGGTTAGTACTTTAATCTCGATTTTTGCTTTAATTTACTTTTAATCACACAATGTAAACACCGTATTAGCTATGACAAACATTTGATAAATAAAACTGTTAAAATCAAATTGCTTTAAAGATATCTCGAGATCTAAGAAAGAATTGAAGAAAATGAGAGAATAATGAAATTGATAATTGAAGAAAAATATATAGAATACAGTTGATATATATAAAACTATTGTAGTACTATCGCCATATCTTATATAAACTGTAAGACCACGACTAGTGTTGACGCTTACATATGCTGGCAGTAATAATGTTTTATCTGGAACTGTCTGGTTAGATTATAAAAGTACATATGCATTTATTAAACAAAATTTAAATCAACTGAACTAATTTTTATAGTGATTGATAGTTACTAAATAATAATACACAAGACTCTACAAACATATATCATATGCATAATATGCTGTAAAAATAACAAAAATCAGGCCATAGTAATATACCATAGATATCTACTTGTATATATGATAGCAAGCATATATCTGAGTTGGGTCAGTTGGGATATATAATCAGTTGGGTTTGCGTCATTACTCTGCTTTCTCTTGTAAAATTAGTTCTGTCGCTACTTAATATCAATAAATTTAATATTAATTATAATTCGCCAGCTAGAAATTGCACAAAGCCAGGCTGTGAGAAGACTTTTCAAGATACCAATGTATGTTAGGACGAATGACATCGTCAGGGACCTTAAGATTGATCCGTTTAAAAAATATATAAAGGATAGGAAACTGACAGGCTTACCAACACCGCGTTCTCCTGGAGGTATGCAAATCTGAGGTCAATTATTGCCTAGTCTGATGAAGTGATAAACAATAATCCAGTCAATGTGTAGAGAGCTGTTATGAAGAAACCTCGCAGTTAATAAAGAGTAAAAGTGCTCAAGTGCACTGACTCAACTAGCATCAACATAACAATTAATTACTATTACGGATAAATATAATTAGTATACAGTCTCATTTGTCATTTTTGGAGAATGTGTTATCCAAGTAACACTAATTAAGCATTTGTGCTGGTAGTATAAGCGGCGCTGAACGGACGTGCTATTCTGTCCGGCCAAAACATCTGTCCATTTAGAAAAATGTTATATTGTTTTATATTGAAAAATATAAACTGAAAACTTAGGACTAGCACGATTGTGCGGTTGAGAGAGATGTTCGTTTATGAGTGCATCCGTTTATCATAACACTATGATAAACTACATGAATTATATATATGGCACATTATTAGCAGAAAAGCAAATAAAAAACATATAATTTCTAACTACTACGGCACTACGAGCACTTGCTGTTATCCAAATAATTTTATATCAATGCTAAACTATTCATTGATATAAAATTATTTGGATAAGAGAAATTCTAAACTTTAGTAAACAGTTGATACTCTCGTAGCAGTTATGGAACTATGGAATAACGGTTTAGATTTTAGTCGTTCATTGTTAAGACTGAGAGTTTTTTTTATTGTAATTCGATGTAGCATAAAACAAATTCGTAAATGTATTTAATGATTATTGGACTGAACTTGTAGATGCAAGAGATTGTGTTAGAACGGAGCGCATTGAATCAAGCACTACAAATTATGACAACAGTCAAACATCCACCGTGTGGTCGCTTAAACCCGCAAACAGCACAAAAAGAGTCTCGGTCATCGCTCAGTACTGAAATTTCCACGTGAAGCAGTTGATTATCGGCGGACTAGCGAGTGCGGCGCCATAAAAAGTCCAACCTTGTTTCGAATAAACGGGAAAAGAACAAAAACTGTGAATAATATAATTAAGTAAATAAATAAACGAAATTAGTGAAAGTTTCATACATTAGACGATTTAGACAAAACACTTTGCTGTGCTTATTTTGTGTGCTGAATTGACAAATTTGTGCATTTTTAATATAATTTCCATAAATAAAACACGACTTCAGCATATATAGAAAATAAAGGTCTTCATTTTTTTTTCATTAAGTTCAATTTGTAATATTTTATGCTTAGCATTGTAATTAAATTAATGACTGAATTATTTGAGCGGAAATAAAAATACAACTTGTGCACACTTTCATACATACAAAGTCATACCTATAAGCTCGCCAATCCGAGGGACTTCTCTGACTATTTGATGTTTATTTAGTCAAACAATTGTGCTAAGTGCAATTAACATATGAACACTTGTTAAGTAACAAAAATGGTAATGATATCAGCTCAGAGTGTTTGCGATCGAAGTAATAAAACAATTCGAATACATATTACGATTTAATCCGATTTTCTGTAACATTTTCTGTGAAATTTGCACTTAAACGAAGCAACAATCAAGTCGTTTGAATTATTTGCTTAATTACTTTTAGTGAAGGTTGCTGTGAAATCAGATTAGTCACTTCGGCATCGAAGAACTCCCTTATACTGATGCTAAATAGTCGCTAAGCTAGTTAGCATACTAAACCGGTCAATGTTTGAACTTTCAGTTCCAAGTAACAATGGCAGCAATTTTCCATGTTAGCGTTAGCACGATTCAACAGAAAGCACTGACGACATACTTTAAGACTGTTTGGGGATCAATATTTAATTATATGGCATCTAAACTAAATACACTCTACGCTCAGCACACAAGTGGTGAATGGATGGAAGAAATAATGTTGTTATTGTGATTCGTGTAAACAGTTGAAGATTGATAGCAAGAAATAGATGTGGTCAGAGGAAGACTGTTTATTAGATCTAAATCTTTTACAAATTTAGTGGGGAGTATAAATTTTTTATTGGATTAATCTGTAATATACTGTGCCGTCACAGATTTAAGATGCCAATATGCTTCGAGGATATGGACAACATAAAACACTTTGTTTGTTATTGCCCAGCATTTGCAAGAGCCAGATTTAGATTGTTGAGTTATCTCTCTCTCTCTCTCTCTCTCTCTCTCTCTCTCTCTCTCTCTCTCTCTCTCTCTCTCTCTCTCTCTCTCTCTCTCTCTCTCTCTCAGAAATGTTTTGTTCTACCATTATCTGAGTTTCTTAAATTCATTAATAAAGCTAAGAAATTTTATGCACTGTAATCTAGTTTTCCACTTTAAGGTTCAGTTAGACGGTAGGTAACGTAAGAAATTAATTAAAAGCGAAGTGCACATTATTGCAAATTGCAGATTATTATTTCTCTATACTTATCTCACACTCTTCTATAAATATATTTTTTAACAATATTTGTTAAGTTTTTTATATATATACCGGGCTTAGGTCGTTTATTTAACACATAGGTTTATAAAAATGTTTTTTTAAAACAATTAAAAAATTTTTACACTTTTTTCCAACTGTGTTAAATGTTTAAATTTATTTAATTTTTATACAAAAATTATATTAATACAAATATTTCGGTCTACATCGTAGACCATCTTCAGTGTATATAAAAGATTACATATTTAATTATATGTAAATAAACATATAAACATATTACATATTTGTTAAGTAAAATATTTAAATGTTACAATTTTCTCAAATTTTTTTTCATACGGATTAATTATATCTTAAATCCACTTTCTTCTTTCACCGATTAGACGATCAACTGGTTGTTAATCACATTATTTTCAAAGTTTGCAAAGATGATGCCATCATATATAGTAACGAGGTCTGTCTGGAAATTGTAAGAAGAATCAATACTGCCCAAAATGGTACTATAAGCATAAAATGCAGTGGAAATGAAGAGCTCCCTTTCAACGAGGATACCTTATGCTCTAAAGATACCTCATCCTAGCTATGCTTTTGTATGGTGGTAACGGCTGAAGATTATCATATTATGACGAAGAAGCCATTGGTGTGTTAAAGAAAGAATTTATTCGTAAGATCATTATTCCTTATTAGTTAACATCGAATAGGACATTCGTCAACAAATAGAAAAAATTAGCTTAACCATTATATTATTGGTCTAATTAAGAGAGATTTGATGTTTATTGTTAATATAAGTTAACTCACGCGTACCCAAAATCCGGCCCTGTGCTTAGTTTCATTAACGGAGCAATCATGCGATGTTGTTCGAACGCATGGTTGCTACCAAACGGGATTTCCATTTGTTTGTCTGGAAAAGTCCCGTTTGGCTTCGGTATCTCCCAACTTCGCAGAAGTGCGCTCGGTCTCTCTTGCTTAAGCCACCGAACAAGCAACATGAAATTGTGCTGCGTTAATAAAAATTTACTTTTAACTTATATACACAATACAAATCTACATAGTCATAGCAATAGAGACAATAATATATCATCAGGCGTTCGATTTTGCTTCTAAATCTAAATAGCATTGATCTCTCTTTAGTTAGAGTCTGAAAGGTGAAGGTTTTAAAATGAAAAGGTTTCGATTTGTTATCTTCTCCGTTTCCATTAGTTTATATTCTTTTTTTTCTGAATAAACGAAAATATTTACATCATTCATATTTGCAAAAATGTTACAAGTAAGAAAAAATTTATGATATTAATATAAATATTAGCTTAAGATAAAAAAATCAAGAGTAACCCATTTGGAACACTATCTCAATACGCTACATCAGTAATACTATTTTTCATTACATTTTATACAGCAGGCCAACTACTTTCCAGCAGTTTCAGTAGTAATAAACTTATCAGTTTATTATTGATTTTGAAATGACAGCCTTTACCAAAATTTACTTTATAGCACCGAATCATTATAAATACTTTAGGAACGAAATATTTCATTATTGACTTTTATAACACATCATATTTAAAAAAAAACTGACCTATTTTATGATGTCCAAATTTGCAAAAGAGTGAAAATTTCTTATCGAGCAAAGGATACGTTTTGATTAATCAGTCAACCGAAGAGCTACTTTTAAAAAGTAGTGTTCTGAAATCCAATCGCTTGACTCTGGCGAAATTTCAAAGCAAACTAAAAGTCGAAAAATCGAAAATATATTCTGTGGAATCACTTGAACAGATCACTTGAAAGCCACACAGAGCAACAGAGTAACCAAGGAATTATAACAGAGTAGACTTATTCTATCTGGTTAATTTATCGATCACTACAACCTGAAGTATCACATACATAAATAAGTTAGATTTACCGATCTTGTGAAATTTTTTGTTAATGACTAGTACCCCCCAGACAAATAGCTAAATGCTTCTTGAGGAAAATATCATTATTTCTGTTGTAGTACAATAGGTGTATATATTTATATTTGATTACTTAATCGGCACAAATGTGGATACAATACCTCTGTATAAAATGTTTACTTTGTAATCATAATTAAAAGATATATGAATATATACATATTCATCCATTCACACTATCTCTTTATTAATCGTAATTCCGTCTGAAATTGACTATAGATATTTTTGGTTTCTAATAACTTCAAAATAAATAATGTAAAAATTTTTTTCTTCATTTCTGTGCATTTTACTTCAAGAATTTTTTAAATAACAATATATAAGTACATTCCAATCTATTTCTCGTAACCCCAGTCAACTATTTGAGAAGAGATACTGAGACAAGCTTTGTTGTAGTTCATTATTTATAGCATAAATGTTTCGCATATCTCCTTATCAGCTGGGATCATCTACTTAGTGTTATGTAAAAAGTTATGATGAATTAATGTTAGCTGATTAATTAAAAATGAGGACATATCAGCATTGAAAAATCACCTATATTAACACTTACAACTATTAAACCTAAATAACACTTTTTGTATGGTTTTTGTAAGCCTTTGTATTTGATATAAAAAATCACATATTGCTCCAAACGAAGCTGATTCATAGTCTGTCCCATCAAAATAAGTCTATCTGAGTAGGCAGAATATGTGCTCTGCTTGGAAGAAGAAGAGACAATAAGTAACATTCTTTGTGAATACACAACTTTAATCTGGACCAAGAACTCTTACCCCTTTTAGCTATTAGGCAACACACAACGGATGACATTATTAACTTAATTCGTAAACCGTGGGCTAACTTCGATTTGAGCTATAGTTAAGGCGTGCTTTGAATACATAGGTAGATTCTTATTTCTCGAAATATCTGTCGTAACTTAATCTATAATATTACTAATAAAAGTCATCAAAGTAAGGTAGAAAAAATTGCAAAAAGTCATTAGGTAGCTAACTTTAAAGGCCGATTATGGGAAAATGGTGTGTTATATAAAAATATTCTTGCTCAAAAGAAATATAATAAAGTATTGATGATATACGGAAACATAAACCAAAAAAAATTTATAGAAATTTTGAGATAAATGTGCGAATACGGACTACTTTGTTTATTTCGTTTCTATCAAACACACAAGTTTGGTTGGTTGTGCATTTAGCTTTGAATTAATTTCTTACGTTACCTACCGTCTAACTGAGCTTTTATAATTGTAGTATAACAAATTAGGTGCCAAATGTAAGTGATAGTTGACAGACTAAAAATAACTGTGGGAGTAGAGTTACTTAATTGAGCCATATTTTAAGATTTAAATGGTTTTATGCAGAAAATTTCTATGGATAGAATTTTTTGATATCCTGTATATCGGTATGTATTGAAAATGGTGCCCTCTCCAATAAATTTTTTTTTGTTTCTTTATATTATATATATCTTATTTCTATTTATGTATCTCATGTTCTAACAGAACTAGCTATTATTCATTAATTTGCATAAATGATTAAAATAAAATGAAAATATAATATCACACAATATATTGCATCTATGCAGAGCAAATGCATATATTGCTGGCTGTAGCGTATAATTTGTAAGGGTAATTTATTATAGCGCATTAAGCAGATACTCGTACATTGTTTATAACAAGATGAAAGCTATACTCATAGCTTCGACAACAATGGAAACAAAAACAAAAGCAACAATAAAAAACATTTAAATGAACCCAACAAATACGCATGGGTAACACATCACATTAGAACACTTTGAGCTTCCTACATGAAACGATCGCATTTGGGCGCACGACGGAAACAAGGGCAATACGCGACTTACGTTCACGACTTACGCGCTCGGTAAAGAAAGTGAAAAAACTCGGGCTGCATCTGCAATCTTAAATTCAAGCAAAACTTCATCGCTTCCATCCTCAGCGGGCAAGCAGATTGAAGAAGAGAGGAGGCACATCGATCGAATTAGTGTTACTTGTTGTGATCTGATACTCTATGCTTAAATTTAAACAGATTTTACAATAATTTAATTTGGTACAATTAAGTTAATGCGAAGGGCGAACTACGCGCTGAGTGCTTTGTCGTATTCAGCAGTTTCCGCGACCTCAGCACTAACAATACAATATTAAAAATCAAAACGAAAATTGAATTTTAAATTTAAATAAATAAATTATTAATAATATAAGTACTAAACGTGTGTGAAGAAGACGATGTTGGTTAAAAGTGTATCAACTGGAGTTGTACTTGTTCTGAGCCAAATTGTAATTGCCCAGACATATGGCTATAGTGACGATGCTGTGGTCGATATAGGATCAACACTGCCAGATAGCAATCCAAATCAGCTACGCCTATGGTTAACGATTAGTGCACGTAAACGTTTTATAGAGATTTCCTGGAAAAATGCGCCCGCACGCAGTGATGATAATATTTTACTAACAAAGCAAAAACCTATTAACTTTAGTCGCATAAAGCTAAACGCTACAACTACCCCATTAGCTGTGTTTGATGCCGTTGATAGAGGTAGTAGTTCTATCCCAATCGATGGTGTTACAATAAGAACCAGTTCTATCAGTGAACTAAGCAGGTTTGCAGGTATAAATCTTAATTCACCTATAAATATAAATGCTAACACGCCATTAGGAGACTCATCGCGTACAATTTCACGGATATCAGGAACCCAGTTGACTTCTACACCTGCACCGCAGCAACATCATTATTGGATTTCAAATAATGGTGCTAACGATATTGTGGCTGCTATACAACCTAGTTTGAGTACGCAATGGTTTACTACTGGTGTACCGTTCAACTATGAAATAACTGATTATATAACAAAAAATACGAGCTGTTATGGCTATTGGGCCAGTTATATTAATGGTGAAGGCAGTATACTTGCAACAACTTGTTTTCGTGCATATCCAACTTGGATGCACGATTTGAGTACAGTAATCGGTAGCCTACGTATGAGAGACCTATTTATACCAGGTACCCATGACTCCGGATCTTACCGTCCCAAATTTGATCCACTCCTGCAAGAGACAATTGTTACAAAATATGCACTTACTCAGGATGAGGACGTACGCACTCAACTTATGCATGGTGCACGTTATTTGGATATACGTGTTGGTTATTATCGCAACACACCTGAAAAATTTTTTATTAATCACGGCATTACAAGACAACGTCCATTACGTGAAATTATTGAACAGGTTAAAGCGTTTGTATTGGATACCAACGAGATTGTCATATTCGGCTTAAAGGAATTCCCTGTAGGTGAGTAATGTGAAATTTTGAATTTTAAATTTTTTATGAAAACTATTCTTAATTTATATGTGTTTAGGTTTTGGTCGAACCTTGGGTGTTCACCGTCTTTTAGTACATTTTATACAAGAACAATTTGGAGATTTAATTGTGCATCCTTCAGTCAAATGGAGTGGTTCATTGCATGACATTTGGTCAAGGCGTCAAAATGTTATAATCGCTTATGACAAGCCTGCTATAGTTAATGAATTTCCACACTTACTTTTTACTGCAGTTGAACAACGTTGGGGTAATGTTCAAAATTGGGTGGCGTTGGAACGACATTTGAGAATGGTTAACTCACTGGACGTCTCGTAAGTATCTCTACTAATATGAAAACGGTTATCATGTAGTCAAAATTTTGTGTCGATATATTTTTCAGTACTGCGTAAATGCTATCTCAGCATTGCCTTAGTATTGTTTATAACTTTTACATAGCACTTTCTTCTACAAGAAAGCTTTCTCTCACATATGTCATCTGGGAGTGTAGGAAGAAGAAATCTTAATTTTCATTAACATTAACATTTACATTAACAGAGCTTTCTCTTTTACAAACCTCTCAAAATCGATTTTAAAATTGTGCAAATCTAAAAAAATTCTTCTTTTGAAGTTATAGAATGATTCTTAGTACAGGAAAATTGATCATTTTTAGAAAAAATATATATACATCCCCACCTATACAAAAAAAATCAATTTTTGTTTGCGCGTTTCATTTATTGGTAAATTCGAAATGTTATTTTTAATTATACATAAGTATTAAATATCCCACAGTATCATAAAAATTAATCTAAATCAGGTTGAATGTGGAATTTATATGAATAATTTATATATTTGTCAGAATAGTCTGATCAACTTTCATATAATATTTAAAAATTAAAATCACATCTTAAAATTGAATTCGACAATTAAGTTAGGATAGGTTAGGTTATACCGGCGATCCCAAGGGATCAAAAACTCAAGGATTTACCTTTGGTAAAGTGTATAATGCTTTTCAGAGGAAGGTTTTGCAGTTCGATAAGATCCTTAGAAAAGAAAGCCGCTAAAGTGATAAGGCAGCGCCGCGCATGTGCTGGACATAAACAAAGCAAATGGGAGGCACTTTCATCATCCTCTCTACAACTGCGGCAGGTATGGTTGAAAGGGAGATTTAGTCTCCTAGCACGGCCACTTAATATACAATAATCTGTAAGTAAACGTACTATAAGTCTGACATCTCTATAGGAGTATCTTAATGAGAGAGTTTGATTTTCTTTTATTGGAGCTTGACCAAAATGCATAGATGTGCCTACATATAAGTCAGTACAGGAAGAAAAATTCAACAATTAGATCAATCGATTTGAATTTAAGAGGACTGTTTAATACGCCTTTAAACCCACTTCAATTAATTATCAATAACAATATGTAATTGATTTGTGATGATATGTGTAAAAGAGATTTGAATTGCCATTTTTAAATATTTTTATGCATTATATACCATTCGTATGTTTTTACTTATCGCCTTGGTACTTACTGTAATCCGTTAAAGTATTTGTAAAGCATTTCTTTTTTTCTTTACACTGATACGGTATACGGACTAACAATTTCTATAAATTATTTTATATTTAAAACTGAAGTGCATATTTACCAATACAAGTGACACGTACCCGGACTGTTCTTTTTCTTTCACTATATTATTATGTTAATGTAGCGTTAAGCGATTTATGTATATTGATATGTATTTCTACAGAAGCGGTAAATCATTCCAATTAATACTTTTGCACTTATTTGAAGTATATATAAATGAATAAAGTATATATAATTTATTCTTACAGTCGTCTATCAAGCCGTCCAGTTGCTGATATGGCAGAACTGACACCAGAACCATGGGGCGTAATTGTAGATAAATATGGAGGCTTAAGAAAACTTGCCGACAATGTTAATTGGCGTGTCTCCCAGCTCTACAGAGATGATTTGGCCAGAACAGCAAACATTGTTGCTGTTGATTTTATGCGTGGTACTGTAATGCCGGAGATCGCGATCGATTGGAATAAACGTAAAATTACTTATTAAGTTATTGTTTTCAATATTTTTAAACAAAATTTATGAAGCTTTAAGTCAAATAAATAATAAATATTAAGCACGAAGCAAAATATTAAAATTTTAAAAATAATTTATCATTTAAAGTGTTCGTAATATTAAAAGCTTTGCATTAGATTAAAATGTTAGTTCAGTTTTTTCATTTTGAAGGACTGCTGTTTATGTTTACAATAGCGTTTAATGAACAAAGTTTACGGATTTGTTCAACTGAAAAGAAAATAAATTGCATTATAAGAAAAAGTTTTGTCAGTTCCAAAACATTTACTGACTTAGTAAAATAAAATAACAAATGAACTCATAAATCTGTGAAATTGTTTCACTGTTCACACAAATCTGAGTCCAATTGATTTGACACTCCATCTCATCTATAAACAAGATCCGCTAGTATTGGCAGATACTATTTTTAATCAACATAATCTCTATCATATCTGACAAACGTTATCCTCACCACCTTCTCCCAACTTTATTAAATTTTATTACAGCATTTCATATCATCAGATGCATCCTTATTCCATTCCTTTAAGATACCATAGAAGATATGGTAAGTCTTGTATGTTATTTGTTTCTTATATTAGGTATGAAGATAAACATTTTTGAGTGTATTTATAAATATTAAATTTATCTCATTAGTCCACTATATCATTCAAACTATATTATTAATTTCAATTATTGCCATTTATTTTTCTATTCGTTGCAATATATTGCAATATTAGAGTACTTGCCATTAAAATGCAAAGTTGTATATTTTCTTGCGTTAAAAATATATGAAATAATTTAGGAAGCATATTTTATTTTAAAATTTACTATAAAAGCTCAATTAGTTTGTGTCATATATATAAAAGAATGCGATTGATCTGTATATTATATGAAATAAGGACAAACAAAAACAAAACTTGATCTTTCGTTTATTGCACATAACCAAAAAATCTATCTTGAACAAATATTTTGAACAATTTCAATATTTTTATTTAGTGCAATGAGGCAATACCTCCTTCGACTGTTTCCGGATAATAATTACTTCCCGTTAGGAAGTTGAAATATTGAAAATGATTTTAACATATACTATTGTGAATTGTATTTTTTATTTAATTTCCAACTGTCATCCAACTGTGAATGTTTTTTGCTGTCAAAAACATCTGATGGTAAACAAATTTGCTGGGCAGTAGCGATTTAGTGCAAGATGTTCCAAAGTGTGCCCACACTTCATCAACCATTACATTCTAAGGTTTCGAACTATCTTAATGACCAACGTCGTACGGGACAATATTGTGATCTTATAATCGCTTTAAGCGATACGGAGCATTTTGTGTTCGCACATTATTGCGTTGTTGGTGCGCAAAGCCGATACGTCGGTGGACCACATTTAATACAAAAGTTACTACAGTTTTCAATTCATAATCCTTTAAAGATAATTATTAACGATTTTAAGTGTGCTCAATGTTTGCAAACTATGGTTGATTTTTTTTATGAGGATATTGTGTCAATTGCCACAGAACATGAAATGCATTTTAAGACACTAGCAAATCGCCTTGAAGTCACTGAGCTATTGAGTTTATATCAAAGTAAAGGTGAAGAACATTGTGAGGGAATGGGCAACAGTGCTATTGTAGAGGTTAATGAAACTATCAATGCAGCTGCATTGGAAAATAAAGATGTGAAAGCAGACATTAATATGGCAACAAATACAATTTTAAATGAGGAAAGAACGTACTTTAAGGTATTTCAAATACGTAAATAATTCTTAAAAATTAATTTTCTGAATTTGTGTTTAGTTAAGAAATCCACATAATACTTCTGCAAATAATAAAATGAATAATTGCATGGCATGTGAATTTAAATGTTATAACGTCAAAGATATGATAGCACATATGCATTGCTGCGAGGCTTCACATCTAACGTGTTCACTTTGTGAAGTCGGCTTTACTGCTTGGCGGGAGTATGAATTACATTTAAGGAAACATAGCAGTGACTTGAAGAAACCATTTTTCTGTTTAGAGTGCGATGCTCGATTTGTTACTCGCACTAGCTTATTTGTGCATTTCCCAAAACATTCGACTGAAACGCCACATCAATGTACACATTGTGACAAAGCATTCAAATGGAAACATGGACTCCGGGATCATTTACTTAGTCACAACAAGGAAAAGCAAATGCTTTGCGATGTTTGTGGATTTAGCACGACAAACATGAAAGCATTAAAATCTCACAAATTGCTACACACGGGAGAATTTTTCAAGTGTCCCTTTACAGATTGTAAGCACAGTACAAACCGAAAGGAAAATCTTAAACTACATATAGAAACACATAAGCAAGAACGTCCATTTGTTTGTGAAATATGCGGTTGCAAATTTAGTCAAAATAAAAACTTAAAAAGGCACGCTATCAAACATTCAGCAACAGAAACAAACAAGTATAAATGCCAACTGTGTAGTTTTGCAAGTCATCGCTCCGACAAAGTTAAAGAACACACACAGCGAATGCATACGGAAAAGGCTGTAGTGTTAGAACTATCGGAAGTTGTGGAAAATTCCTTTGAAAACCAAACTGACGATACATTTCAATTATTACCTATACAATTATTAACAACTAAGCACAACATCGAAGAGAAAATGAAACCACAAAAAAATAAGAAAAAATTTATTAAAAAAGTACCAGAAACAATTGAAGTTACTAAGAGTATACGTAATATCTTGCCAAAAACTACAGTAGATGATGTTAGTATACTTCCTGCGACATTACTAAATATTGAAACTTATGAAGACATTGCTGTGATTGAAAGCATTTGATACTTGAGTGTTTGTCCAATTTAAATAATTATAGTCTTGTTAGAAAGCGATTTGAGTGTCTGCTTTCATACATATATGATACTTTAAGCATCGATTCTAAAAAATCAGATTTGTGTTTATTGGTATTGTCGATTTCATACACGGGTAACTAAAGATTAATCAAAGAAAATATGCTAATGCAACTATTCCTTCATAGGTTTAATCGAATAACATGAATTTATTTCGAAAGGTGACTAACACCTTGACAGTAGATCAATTAATGAAACAAATCATTCTAATTGTCCCCAATTCATTCTTACTCTTAAGTAATTCCCTCCTCTATCACACTACCATTACCTCCATTACACATCCTTACTCATGTATACGTTTTTGTGATTCCTTTCATGTTACCCACTTTATATATCTTTGCGGGTTACAACAACAACAACGTGAAACAGATCAGTAAAACAATGAGAAGTGGTTTAAAAGTGTTCAATACAGCTTTACTTACAAAGGCCAACTAGTGTTTAATACAACGCAAACCAGAGCTCAGTGTGTGCCCCAATGTGTAAGGCCAAGGCAATTAGCAGCACTGATACTAAACAATTTTCTGTTTATTACAGTCTTTCTACCATATGAAGCATAAATAGATAATAGATAATGTTAGCATATTAGCTATTAAGGAAAATGTGCTGTACCATTTTAACCAGCTGGTATATATCGGACATTTCCGTATATGTATGCAAGTTAAAAGTAAAAAAATTTTTTTTTTACTTTTAAGAAGAACTACCATGACTCACTTTTAAGACTTATAAATTAACTTAAACACGCCGCGCCTGTGTTCAAATCAATATAACTATTGTAAATTAATAACAAATATAAAAAAGACTGCCGAGAATAACATTTTTTGTACCAAATTTGTTTTATATTATTTAAATTTTTTGTTAAATAAAATTTATATTAGTAAACGTTGAAACAACAAATTCCGTTATTTCTATATTGTTTACACAAATAAACAATTTTTTAAATACTGCGTTAAGAAGCAACCGCACAACAATATTAAAAATATACTATAAAATATATAGTAGAAATATAAATTTCACATAACTTATTTAATTTTTACTGAAATTGATTTTTTATTGATTTTAACCAGAAAAAAACAATGAAATTTAAACAAAATATTAACAATTATTCTTAAAAAAAAAATTAAACACAATTAGAGAAAGACGCAGCATAATCAACCAGGTGAAGTTATTCCAAGCGTAACAGCCTCAAAACTAGCTAAAGATATTGCCGAAAAGAAAATTTTGCAACAAAAAGTCATACATATCCGGAAATAATAGAATAAAATGATTAAACTTTGCGAGAGAGCATTTAAATAAACGTATAGAGTTCTGGAAAAGAGTTATTTTCTCCGATGAGAATAAATTCTGCATATTTGGAAAAAAAGGTAGAAAACTTGTGTGGAGAAAATCATATACAGCCTATGATAAACAAAACTTAATTTTAACTGTGAAACATGGTAGTGTAGGCGTAATAGTTTGGGGGTGTATAGCAAGTAATTTTGCTGGCAAACATGAATTTTTACAAGACACAATGCATAAATATGAGTATCTAAATATTCTAAAAACAAATTTAAAAGAAAATGCCAGAATGTTAGGACTTGAGGCAATCTTTTTGTTTCAACGATTCTATGTATACAGCAGGGATCGTACGGGATTGGCTGCTGTATCATGCTCCCAGACAACTTCGAATACCACCAAAATCACCAGTCCTTAGTATCATAGAATATCTGTGGGATTATGTAGAAAATAAGATTCGCCAGCGCATAATTTTCAGCTATGACATGTTCAGAAACGTCATCACTGAAGAATGACAAAAAATAAACACACAGAATACTGCAAAGCTGGTTGAATCCACACAAAGACGTCTAAAAGAGGTTGATTTGAGTGAATTTGAATTGTTTTAATCTAAATATTAAAAAATGGACACAGACTTTTTCTGCTTCAAAAATTATTGATAATTGTAAAGTTTTTATATTTGAACTTCATTGTTTTTTCTTGGTTAAAATAAATCAGATATCAGAAATCAATTTTAGTAAAAATTAAATAAGTTATACAATATTCAAGTGAAAGTTTGTTGGTGAATACAGACTTTTTCTTCTATGTGTATGTATAAAGTTATATACTATAAACTATAATTGATTGTTAGAAGTAAGGAATAAATTTACCTAATTATTAAAGAAATGAACTAAATTTATTGCCGCATTGCAATATGCTCGACAGGGGCGGTCCTGCTTACGTCGTCAAATTTAGTGACTTAAAATATACTTGAGTCTTTTTTGAAATTTAAGTTACGACTGTATAACTTACGATTGCATCCACACCAAACTTTTGCAGGTACGATTATCTACAAATATTCGACCATTCGCAAGCGTTCGCTTTGATGTGGATGCATCTAAATATAACTTAATTAACACTAATCGTGTATTTGCACTTCCATGACTTACTTTAATAAAATATTAATCAATAACAAACTATTCTGTCGTTCGTAAATATCAACATCAATCGAGCAGAAAAATAAGTATATAATCTTTCGTCAGATATATTCGCGTAGTTCGATTTTCCATCAATTTCCGCATATGGAACCTATTTCTTTTTTTGTTTTTTTTCTTTTTTTGATATTTGATTAAGATGATATTGCCCATGTTAGAATTTGTAATCCTGGTCTACAATCTGGTGGTTATAACAGTCTCTTACACATATGTATGTATTGATGTTTTTTGTTTGGGTGCTCGATGTTTTTGAATACTGTCACCTAGGTGCTTATATAAATTTATATTTTACTTTTAATTTAATTATTTGAAATATACGCATGTAATCTACACTTTACACAGCACATTTTAAAGTTTTTAATAATAACACAGAACAATTTTATGTCATGCAACCGTGTGCCATGTATTCATTTAGTAAATATTTAATTTTGTTCTGTGCACGAAATGCTTTAAAAACTGGGGAATTCCCATTAAAGCTAAGGGAATTCGCATGTCAATGCATTCAATATCACAATTGTACATCAGTAAAGTTATAATCTGCAGTTGTGGTCTGCTACTATAGCGAGAAAGAGGTTCTGATTGTGTTGTGCGCGAGTTTCTCTGTTCAGTTACGTTCAGTTAAATAAAAATGGAGACTGTTTTAATGGTCGCAGAGAAGCCTAAAGCAGCCCTGGCTGTGGCAAAAGTATTATCAAATAATAAATGCAAGAGAATTAGAGGTAGATGATTTTTTAAAGAAATACTTTAATCATCTGTCGTTAACTAAAAAACCACATAATAATTAGTAGCAATAGATTTTGATATTCAGAATTGAAGTGTGCAAAATATCTTTTTCGGAAAATAATTTTACTTCGACGTCCTATTGACTGCATTGTGTGAATTGAGTGAAGATTAAAATGTGATATATAATATTTACTTAATGCTCGCTTAATGCTTGCTTAATATATATAATAACTTTTTTAAATTAATCACAATTTTGATTTTCTTCAAATACAATGTACATATGTATTTCTATATACACAAGTAAATTCCGTGCCGCAAACACATACACGTCTATTCCTTTGTCGTGTGAAATGAACGTATGTAGTTACAGTCGATTGAAGTGCGGGGAAGTGATGTTACTCTATTAATGCCTCTTGGGGGAGAATGCTTATACTGTGCAGAGTAAGGGATCGTATTTCTCATGTGTAGAAATTAGTATTAGTATTCATTTCTAATATTTTTTCAACTTTTTACCATAGTGCAAACGACAGTGCAAAAAGTGCTGACGACATGAGTTTTCCGATGCCTTTAAAACTAATGATTTTATACTCGTATATGTATGAAATTAAAAATTGCATAGTATGTATATTTTTAAGCTCCAAAAACCCCAGCAGTAATTGCGACAAGTTCTAAGCTTACGAATTGAATAACCCAAAAGAGTACTGTACTGGTTGTGCTATGTAATCTTACTCTTATTCCTTAAACTGGCAAATTTTATATTGAGTTGCCAACACCGGTATCAATTATTCCACGTACGACACATATCGTCCTTGGTATATTCACTATTTCGTTATTGTCGAATTTAACACATTTATTATTGGTGAAGTTAATTACCAACCCACAACACACTGGGCAGAGAATTTTTTTAAATATGTACAACATAGGTAGGGAAGTTATGCCGACATAGTTTCAGCTCTTGAGATATCCGGTTTAAAATTGCAAATACAGTCAAACTTCCATAACTCAAACTAAAAACAGTGCACCAAAGTTTTAGAGAGCAAATTATATACAATTTTGCTTCCATAACTCGGACTGCTACGAATTTCTCTATAACTCGAACAAATATTTTGTTCCGTGCCGATAGAAATATGAGAAAGTGCATTTTTTAAGTTGAATTTTTGTTTCAAGTATAAATGTATTTTGCTGTTAGGGGAAGCCCCTTCTTCCAAACCAAATGTTTAATTTTTTCTTTCTTAAGTTGCTTCTTTGTGCAAATGTCAGTCGCTGGCAGCGTGGTTTAAAGTAAATAAAATAACTTCCAATACTATTTTTAACAATTATATTCAGTTTGACAATGAAATTTGTACATCAAGCTTTCCTGCAGATGACGATATTATTGCGCACTATAGCTTTAAATTACTGGATCCAATTCTAAGCGCAAGGGAAAGTGATGATGAGAATTCGGTGGATGTAATTGTTCATCCGCCTTCCAAGAATGAAGTAGAAGACTCACTCAAAATTCTGAATTCATTTTTGCAAACGAATGATACTACAACTAATGAGCACTATAAGAGTATGAATAAAGTGGAATCTCTTTTTACTGAAAATAAGAAACAAATTAAAGTCCCAAATCCTGAATATCAAATTTCTGAATATTTTACTTCACTATACCTTTTGTGCTTTATTTGATTGTGAATAAATAAATACCTTAAAATGTAATTCTAGTTTCTTTCAAAAATTAAAAAAAAAATATGGAGACTAACTCGAAGTCTCCATAAGTCGAACCTTTTCTTTGCAAAATGTAGTAGTATGTAGTGTGAATCACCGCTTGTCTTATCAATATTAAATTTATTCAACTCATCCAATTCGTCCAATATTTTATGTAATCAAAGAAAACAGTTTATCACTTTAAAGTTTAATATCTTTAGAATTAATTTAAGTCGTTGATATATCTTAACGATATATGTAAGTTGCTTAGAATCTGTGGTCAAATTACGACGCGTAGAAAATCATAATGGATCCCATCTCAAAACTAATTGATTTGCTAATTTATTTGAACTGCACTTTACATAATATTTTAATACAATATTATTTTAATTAATTTAATTTTTGGCTAACCATACAGCTGTTTCGAGTATTGCCAAATACTCATCATCAGTGGTCTTGGAATTAATTGTTATATATCATTATTCATAAATAATTTTTTGAGACTGCAAATACCAGGAATCGAACTCGTGCCCTGCCAAATTTCAAGCTCAGCATCAGCGTACCTTAACCAACTGACCCAAAACCGTACTTGACTTTTATGTTCGCACATTTTTCAGGAATTTTGTAAATAGATATCGTTAACTTTGGAGCTATGGTATAATAAAAAGTGTCATTTTAATCGGGACAGTCCCGTTTTTGAAAAGAATGTTTTAAAAAAATGTATAAGAAGAAAAGGTCGTTTAAGCTAACATATCTGCTTATATTCGCAAATAGTTGAATTTTTTTTACTTTTTTATGATACTTAACTATTTTATTATTATCTATATCATGTTGAGGCCAAAAACTAAACAAAATGTACTTATGTGCAAGACAAATGTAACATTGCCTTTGGGGAACCAATAAAAATATTTTAAGTCTTGCATGGGGCGTAGCACAAAAAAATTTCAGAAACTTTTCTTTAGAGAACACAAATAATTTGAAAAATTTGTTATTTTTAGAGTAATTAAACAATTTTAATTAAACTTTATACATCGCATGATAAAACAGATGTATGGTTATAGTTTTAGTAATAGTTTTCTTAATTAAGAATTAAAGTTTATAATTATAAGTAGTTTCACACTATTTGCATCTGTTTTTCTATTTAATTTATTTTATTTTTAAAATGTTTTAAGAAAAATTTTATTTAAATTTAAAATTATCTTACAACGGCCTTCAAGTTCATATATATGTTCGAAAGGCTTGACATTCTTTTCTTATTAAAAAAAAATACTTCGCAGCTAAATGCATACTCAGATCCACCAGCAAATTTTTGAGTAAATAAGAGCATCTGAGAGAGCGTAACATCCCTGTCGAAATTTGAAAATGCTACACAGACTTTACTCGTACATTTTATTTCAAGTAAAATTTGTGTGATGTGTAAATCAGCTGTTTTGGTTTGAATTTAAATTTTGGTGTTGCTTATTTGCGCGGCACTGATGTTCTAACCAGACTTCGCACAAAGCTGTTCCATGAAAATCTGTGTAAAGAGCGTAATTTGGCACTTTATTTGTGTTACACTCTCAGTTGCTACTTTACTTGTGTTTTAGTTGAGTTTTACTACGAGTAGCTCGTGGAACAGATCTGATATATGGAGTTTGTACGTAATAATAAAAACAGTAAAAGGCCCTGTATCGAACGTTTTGATGCCATTTTACCCGGATTGGTCCTTATGGGTATCCCTAAAATCGCTTTTAAATTTGATGTACCACTGAATGGTAAAATTTTGAATAACAATGATCAAAGATCTTAACTCTTCGTGGAACACCAAGTTAGACCTATTTTGTCTGTGCTCCTTAACTGCTATAGATCTATTTCTAATTTCACCAACGACTTTGGTTAATGAACAAAATCTTGAAACTTTTTTTACTTTCGATCTATAAAAAAAATCTCAATAAAAAAGTGTTTTTGTATAGGATTTTATAAGGACTGGAGGTTATCTTTATAATAACTTAAAGAAACGAAAGTTCTTATTTAATCTAATACTTTTTTAACACAAATTTGCAAAATGGGTGTCATAGGTACATATATGTTATAAGGGGCGCATATCCTGCAATTAAATTTATGTATAATGCGATACTATTTCACCTTATAAGCCAATGTGATATCCAGCTTGTTTCGTTCTTCCTTGCTTAAAATCCAAGAAATATTTTCTTTTAAGGTCATAATATTTTAAATATTCGAATATTTATAATATATTGAATATACCATATATTGCTTCAATATGCAATAATACAAATACGGTATATGTACTTTCAGTCTTTTTTTGTAAGTATACTTTTATATTAAAATTGAGGATTGTATTTAGAAAATTAAACTGAGATTATTTTTTATTTTTCTGTTTTTTTGAAAAATATTTTACATACTAAAATGAAAATTAACATTTATATTGTAGGAGCAAATAAACCATCGAAAGTGTACGAATGGAATGGTACATTCCTATCCTCAAAAAGAACGGTGCGTTATCGAATGACGTCAGTATTTGGTCATATTATGACGCTCAATTTTACACCAAACTTCCGTAATCGAAAAGCTGTTGATCCAATTAGCCTATTCGATGCATCTATTGTAAAAGAGGAAACTAGAAAAAAACAAAAAATTGTTGAGTTTTTATCCGAATTGGCTGTAGGCTGTAAGTATGTAGTTTTATGGATGGACTGCGATGATGAAGGTGAAAATATTTGCTTTGAAATAAAGAGTGCAGTTTCCAGTTCTATACAGAATATTGACATGGTGTTGTATCGAGCTAGATTCTCATCCCTACTTGAAAGTGAAATAAAATATTCGCTTGCCAATTTGGTGAAACCAGATGAAAATTTATCCAAATATGTGGACACACGTCGCGAACTTGATTTGCGTATTGGATGTGCATTTACCCGGCAATTGACTGAGTATTTACGTGGTTATAAAGAACTAAAAAGTGCCATTATCTCCTATGGTCCATGCCAAACTCTCGCACTTGCACTTTGTGTTCAGCGTGCCGATGAAGTTACTAACTTCAAACCAGAAGAATATTGGGAGTTTACGCTTACGGCCACTTTAGATGATTGTACAGTTGTCTTCTATCATAATAATGAAAAAAAAATTAAGAAAAAAGATATTGCTGAATCAGTATTACAAAAATTAAAAAAATTTAAAGAGGCACAGTAAGATTGACTTATTTATTAAAATTTTTATAAAAATTATATAGTATAATCTTTATACATTTATAGACTATTGAAAATTAAATCGGAATTGATTGAAGTGAAACGACCACTCCCTCTAAATACTTATGAATTCTTAAAAGCTTGCTCTTTTGAATTAAATATTAGTCCATTTGATGCAATGAAAACTGCAGAAAGTCTGTATTTGAGAGGATACACAAGCTATCCTCGCACTTCGTCAAATGCATTTCCAAACAAATATGATTACAAGTTAGTTAAATACTATTTGCAAAATACAAAGATTTTCTTTATAAATTTTGTACATCTTTCAGATCAACTTTGCATAAACTTAAGGATAAATTAAAATCCCCATTTGATATGCAAGGTCCTGTCAATGAAGATGAAATTGGCGACAATTTCCCTATAATACCAGTTGAAATGCCGACTAGAAATCTCTCCAAAGGAGATATGGACGTATTAATGCTTATTTCACGTTATTTTTTAGCAAGCATATCAAACAATTTAATCTATCGGACTACTACTGCACAACTTAAAATGGGCGATGATGTGTTTTCAGCTAAATTCCAAGAAGTTACACAGGCTGGTTTTACTGATATAATGGATTGTGAAGATTTGAACTTTTTGAAACAAGAAAATACTGATATCGTAAAGATAACGAATATTTTAAAGAAAACTGATAAGATTAATACTTACAAATTACAAAAGCATGTAAAGTTAACTGTAAAACCTACCTATATTACTGAGAGGGAATTAATTTCCCAACTGCAATTGTATTACATTGGAACACCTGGTTCGGTGCCCGATATCATTAATAATTTATACAAACGAAACTATGTACGAGCTGTACGAGAAAGGATATTGATACCTACAATGTTAGGCAAAAATTTAATTCATTGGTTGAAAAAGGTTAAACTTAATAATATATATATATATATATATCATACTATTCTGGTATATATTGTATTATAATAAAAAAAAACTTAATAATGATTATAAAATTCGTAGATGTTAAATTTGTAATTCTTTACGGATGTAGGTTGATGAAGAGCTTATAAGTCCGACCCTACGTGTTGAAATGAAGAACCAATTGAAATCTATTGCTAGAGGTGAGGCCAAAGTAGAAGAAGTCAAAGAAGTAGCTATTAGAAAATTTTATGAAAAATTTGTTTATATGAAAACTAAAAATGAAGATTTGCATAAACTGATGACTGTTCACTTTAAGATTAAGGTTAGTGCAATATAGAACTCCAAAATAGATGAATAACATTATAATCTCAATTTTATTAGAGTATCATAAAATGTAAAGAATGCACGGGAACTATCAATTTGCAGCATGCCACTGAAGAGTAAAAGTAATATATTTTCAATAAATCAATTTTTATATGGTTGATATATTTCAGATCGCAACATATTTGGAACCTAAAATGTGTACAGTGTACGTTTAATAAAAAGTGTTTCCAAGGCGCAGTTTCAGTCATAGTTATTGGTAATATTTAATGTTAATGTTATATTAATGGATCTTATATATCGAATTCATTCTTCAGATAAGGAATGTGACACATGTGAGTCAGGCATGATTAAAGCTACTTACTTTATTAAGGAAAGTGAGAAGATCGTTACAGATGTTCTATGCATTTCATGTTCATCTCTACTTTAATTTTGTAAATGTGTTTGATTACATACTTAAATTTGAAATCAAATCTTTACTTTATTCATCATAGGGCCATTCAGATGTTGTTCAGTAACTTAGTAATCGGTAAAGTGAAAAAATTATAAACGTCTGAGTGCCCTTTTTTTAATTATATCTTACTAAAATTGTAAAGTGAATCAGTTATTTTTCTTTTTTTTGTATGTTTGTTTAATTGTATATAATTATTAAATTTTAAAATAAAGTCAAACCTATTTTTCTATTTTGTTTTTTAGTTCAATTAATATATTTTATTAATAATTTATTTTTTAACATTTCACTTCTAAAATTAAATTTAAATTTTCTGCATGATTTCACAATAATAAGAAAGAGCGACACTAAATCGTTGATCACCTGGTTCTTCCACCGAAGATACGAACGGCCTATACTGCGTTTTCCGCCTGTGGGTACCAAACCAAACACCTTTCCAACCGGAGCACTTTCTTCCATTGACCTTTCCAACCGGAGCACTTTCTTCCATTGACACGACATGACCAAGCCAGCGAAGCTGCTGAATTTTTATGTGCTCAACTATGTCAAAGTCGCGGTATGACTCGTACAGCTCATCGTTCTATCTAATTCGGTACTCATCGCCAACGCGTGTCTTCTAATGATTCTAATGCCTTCTCATCGCTGTTCGCAATTGTCCAAACTTCTGCACCATATAGCAGGACAGGCATGATAAGAAACTTGTAGAGCGTGATTTTTGTTTGTTGAGAGAAGGATTTATACCCAATGGCCTACTTAGCCCGAAGTAACTTCTATTGACAAGAATGATTCTTCCTTCTGTTATGTGGATTTATTCCACACATTTGTCAACTTAAGTTTTGTCTTATTTTGTATTTAACCAAATACAAGACAAAGCGCAATATTACAGTTTTTGTTTAGAAATTTATCCTACACACAAAGTAACGGCTGCTGAACGGTTATGCTGAATCAGCTATAATCACTATAGTCAACCTGCATACAGCGTTCTTTGTTTACTTGATGAACAATGTTGCGCTTATGGTTCCTCTTATAGAAATCAACTTAGGAGCGACAAACACCACCACTCTGATCTTAAAAATGCAAATCTCAGCATAATTGGCTCCGTTTGGTTAGCTTTTGCTGGACACTAAAATTTTGCTGGAGTTCGAACTTATAATTGTCTACAGTGACGTGTGTTCCAAGATGCTCAGAAGATTTGTTTGTTGACAGAAAGTATGGTACTTTGTTTTGTCTTCATTTATCACAAGAAGCATTTGCTTCGCTTGTCATTTTAAATTGGAAAAGCAAGTTAAGAATACCAATCCGTAGTGAAGTCATCAATTGACAATAAAATTTGTGGGTAAAATAGATTCAGCATTACTGTTTGACAAAATTTCCAACGCAGAGAAGAGATATTGTCGCAACTGAAGTGGCAGTATGTTTATATAATTGGCACAGAAATGAAAACAATGTGTGCATTGTAGTATCATCCGCATTAGTACCTAAAATTAATCAATTAATCAGTACTCTTCTTCTTGTGGGTTAGGTTGGTATAATCTTGTTATAAACAAAATCTGCTTTCAATAAAACATATTGTATTAAACATTGCATTAAATCATCTGTACCTTCTCTTGTCAATTTATCAAATTAGAAATCTCTCTTTTCTAAGAAATTCAGTCTTTTTAATTTCCGAGTGAATATTTTTTAATTATTTACATCATAAACTTATTTTTTTGACATGATTACAATAAATTAACAGAAACTCTTTTCGAACTTTAAACTACTACTCATTGAAGTTTTACCAACAAAATAATTTACTAATAGTGAATATATCGCACACTTTTTTCAAAAGAGGCACTACTCGAAATTCGTCAATTTTGAGTTAATGTATGGAACTGCTTATGCCTCGTTTTCACTATGTCATTTTCAATGTCAAATACTGTCAGTATTATGGAAATGGGTAGTCATATGATGTCATATTCGCATTCTTGTCATCTAATGAAAACGCAATTGACACACCAGTCAATTGTAATTGTCATTTAAAATGACATAGTGAAAACAAGGCATTATAGTTTACTTGTCTACCAACACGCAAAATTCCACTTTGTTTTTATTATTGCAAATTGTCGAAAAAAAACTGTTATATCTGTTTTTTTGTTAGGAATAACACTACGCTTCAAAACTTGTTTTGGGTTTTCTGAAAATTAACGATAAATTCGTTGTGCCTCTTTTGAAGAGGGAGTGCGATATGTACATTTGTATGTTGGAATAAAATTAATACTAACGCCATGTGTGAGTTCGAGTAAATTTATGGTAAATTGACGAAAATAGTAACTTATGTCGGTATAGCAGTGAATATGTTGGTATTTACCAGAATTTCAAGTAGGGTAAATTAGATAAAATTAGGTTAGTTAAGTATTATCATTGTGAAAATTTAATAAGATGTTTAATAAATAAATAAATGAATTTTAAAACTTTGAACTGAAAATAATAAATAAGTGCAATAAATAAAAAAATAAATATTTACATAAGTGCAGTGCAAAAAATCCCTAGGAAATTTCAATTTACTTTATCTCAATTTACTCGAACTCGCACACGGTCTAAATATTTTATTGTGTCAAAACTTGATTAAAACTATTTTTAAGAAAAAGACTAATTGTTATACATTTTTAAAAGAATACAAAAACAATATATGACCAATCTATTGATGTATGTATATATTGTATGTACATACTTTCATATGTATTTATTCTCCTACGGTATTGTTATAAAATAACTACAACATATTATACAAAACGAACTTAACGTGTTTGTGTCATATTGTTTATTTGAGAAATTATTAGAACGCATTAAGCTGATTAAATCATAGTAAGTATGCGAAAGATTTTTATATAATATCATGTTCTGGAACTTAATGGGCGCATGTTCTGTTATTTCCAAAAAACGTCTATTTTGTCACGTAAGATACATATGCGCACAAATCATAAATACTTATTGAAATTATATTTAGTATTGCATCAGGTAAACAAACAATTTAATTTGCTTATATTTAAACATTTTAAATAATTAATATATTTTTAAGTAATAAACAAAAATTATCAAACGAAACTCGGTCAAGGTTTCCACAGGGCAACGAAAGTTGTGTGCTCCTAATCACGTCTAACGCGTTTCCACTGAAATAATAGAATTTTACTATATTTTACGATCAAACTAAACAAATACAATTCTGATATAATCGAACTTAGTCTATTTTTAGTTGGGAGAATGTTAGAATGTGGGAGAAGTATGATAATACAATGGAAGAAATACGATGTAAACTAGAATATAGTTGAGATTAGGTGTAAGCGGGAAACTTTCCAGAAATACTAAACAATTGAGTAATATTTTGTTAGTCGATTGTCAGGGTCCTAGATGCTCATATTGTGATGTTAAGATTAAAAATGCTGTGTACATATGTATGTATGTATGTAGATATTTCTACAAAAGTCGTGAAAACATCTATTTAAGCGGTTATCGATTCTAATCCACATTCGAAAAATGTGACTTCTAGCAATTTCGAAAGTAAACACCTTATTCATTAATTTATTTACGAAATTATCTAACATTATGCATATACGTGTATATACGCACATACAAATCTATTTGTTTATAAAAACTATAAAAAGCCGGTAAAACTTATCAGCGATAAACAAAACAATAATAAATAATAAATAGAAACTTGATAATATTTTAATGTATGCTTATATAATATATCTCATATATAGACATATCTGTATGTAAAGCTACTACATACAAATATATAAAAATATATGGTTATTTTCCATATGTGCACATTTATTGGATATTTTCAATTCAAGTGAATTTGTCGAAATTATGTTTATGCAAAGTACAAACATACATATATGTATTTATATATTTTTAAATTAAAATATTAATATAAAAGGTGAAGTAAAGTACACTAACCCGGCGAGAATTGTGTTCGTTGTCTATAAAAATGCTGTCTTGCATAAAAAACGTCAGAGAGTAAAACTAACCAAAAGACTCAACAATACCACAAAAACAAAGAATCTAGAAGTACATTAAATAGAAAACAAACAAAAAAAAAAACAAAGCAAAACTGTTTTTGTTTTCACAGTTGTTTGTTTTTACGTTTTTCATAACACTAGCGAATATCAAATAGGCCTTATAGATACATTATTGCACTCTACATATGTTAAATCTATATATATACGTCGATCCAAAATTTAAGTTCAAGTATTTTTAACAGAATGTCAATGTTAAACAATAAGTTAGATATGTGTATATATATCTTTTAAGATATCACTTTTTTTTTTGCTCTAATAGTATATTCAATAGTAGTAGATGGATAATAGACGACCTTATTACATATATACATAGTACAGCTAAGAAATTACTTGTTGGTTTTAAGAACAAATTAAAATTTAAACAGTTCCAAATCACCTCTAGATCCACTTTATATCCTAAAAATTAGCCAATCACACTTCAGGCCATGTACGAAAAAACTTTTAATGCTGCTAATATAATTTCATCATTTCAACAACAATCAATTTCTGCTGAAATAAAAAGTTTTCTTTATCATAATAAATTACAAACCATTTAACAATGATACGTATTTTTTCATAAATTATAGTACAATTTACAGTAATGCAATGTAATATGCAATCCCATCGAAATGCGATTTCTCTTATTTAGGATATACTGGTAGCGGTGTTTGTAAAAAACATTAAAAATTTGTTTGTTTTCGGTACATTTTGGGTTAAGAAAACTAACTTTAAACGATTAACATTCAATTAAAATATGCGAATTAAAATATATTTATACAGCAAAAAGACATTAAATTTTATTCTTAATTTTGCTCGTTACAAATTTAAAATGAACTCTAATTCATACTTCATAATAGCATATATGTGTAGCGATAGTGTGAATAATCTCTACTATTAATGAATAATAGGCTATGACTCCGACCTAAAAGATCTATTGTGTGCCTAAACACCCAACTAAAACAATTCTAGACTATTTATGAATCTCGTAATTACTGTAGGCTTAAATAATCTTTAAAATCGAAAGACATTTTAATTTATTTATGAACTGAAATCAAGAGTAAAATCAATTTTAGTCATTGTATATAGATACGTAGATCTAATAGATACGTCGTCTAATAAACGTATGACCGAGTTCACATATTGAACTGATTATCCAGGGCTATCATTTTAAACTACGAAAAAAATAATATGACGGCAATAATAATAATGGCAATAAGATTTAAAATTCTTTGTCATTGTAAAAAGAATGGCCTCTAAAAGTTTTTTAGTTACGTTTTTCAATGTATAACTTAATATTCATGGTTTTTAATTATTAATGTTACGAATGAAATCGATACTTTGCAGACTATGTAGCCAATATTCAAGGACGATCTTTTGCAACTAATTTTACTCGGAAAGTATATAAAATATTTATTATCATATCTACATAAGTGTATGTACATAAGTTGATTATCATTAACCTTCAAAGATTAATAGATAACCGAACATGCTGTTAATATCCATTGTAGCGGTACAATTCTATACAAATTTCATGTAATCTAAATTGCGCAGCAGAGTAAATTCAGCTCAACAAAAATGAAAAATGAGAGAACAACTTGATATGAAATATGAACATCTTTTGGTATGAATGTGTGTGCATGTGTGTCAATACGCAAAAGCAAAATAAATAAAAACAATACATGCCCCTCTGCTGTCACCGAACACAGCAGTAGCCCATAGTTGCAAGCAGCCGGTGGGTATATAAATGAATCTGCGCAGCTACAATTCCAGTTTAGTTAAATAAACAAACTTTAAAAGGTTGGACGTGTGCGATACGTCATCATAAAAGAAAATCAACAGCTTTAGTAAAATATAAAATAAAAGCTTATATAAATAAAAATATTAAAACTGTAATAATTGCATTACCAAATCAAAAACGAACGACAAAGTCAGTCAATAAAGTTTCAATAGTGAAAATTCATCACTTTAATTGTGTTCAACCGTGAATATAACAACAAAATGTCCGAAGCCTACTTTGATGAATATGAGCATTACAATTTTGACCACAACAAGCACATTCATTCGGGACACAGTGGAAAACAACGTACCAAGAAGGAAGCTAGCGATCATACCAATCACTTTGATCCCAGCGGACATTCCAGAAAAATATTAACCAAACTTATGAACACTAACAACAACAAAAAGACTTGCATGGCAAAGAATTAAAACTAAAATTTGAAATTAAAAAGAGTAAACGAATTTTAAAGTGCATAAAGCAAAAAAAAAAGTAGTAAAGCAGACCTACGCGTTAAAAGTGGATGAAAGTTTAGTTCAGAAAAAAGAAATCAGAAATCAGAAGAAGAAAAAGTTAAATAAAAAATAAGGAGTCAATAAAATTTGGCAACACAGCACACAACAATTTAAAAGAAAAAAAAAATAATTAAAAAAAAAGCAATAAGGTAAGGAACAGCCAAACACTTGTGAAAGCTGCAACGCAGACGACACAGGTTTTGGTCTGTTTCCTTCAGAAAACTAAAGATTTAGCAATTAACGTAACAAGAAAAAATTATTAATTATAAAGAAACAATTTAAAAACTATTAATTTTATATTAATTATATACATACATATTTTTATTGTTATTTTAATACTTATTAATTTATTTTTAAAAACAAATTTTAAATTTTCTCGCTTAATGAATATTAAATTTAGTTTTTTTTTATAAGAAATTTGAAAAACTAATTATAAATTGTTTACTTATAAGTAATTTTATGATTTTTGTATAAGCGTAAAAAATATTGTTCAGTTTTATATTCTTAAATTTTTTTAGATAGGTTATTGTAAGCTAAATATGAAACAATTTGAAAAAATTTTTAAAAATACAATAAAACTGAAAACAATAACAGTAAACTTTTTTGTTTTTACTTGGAAAAACTACACATAAAAGACTTGCTGGTACCAGTTCACAATTCCAACTGGTACCAGTCATGTCGTCGCCTTGCACCGCCTCTGCTCATGCATCCAAATCTTGTACAACAAAAGACATTTTTTTGTTTTGCTGCATTTCATTTTGAAAAGTTAACGAACTTTCTTTCATTTATGCTTTCCTATTGGTCTATTGGTCCGTTTTGTTTGAAAGGCTAGAGTTGATTTATTATCTCAAGAAACTTGCACACTTAAGATCCACTTAGGATTTACGTAGCAAACTGGCATATAGCCAGCCTGCAAATATACATATTTATGAATTAAGCTAATGTACACTTTTAATGCTTTTTATTTTCTAAAATAAGAACAAGCATAAGTAATTTTATAATGTAGACGTGATAGCAAATAAAGTCAGCTGCTTTTAAACATTACTCAAGAAAACAATGTAGGTATGTAAATCAAACGCAGTTGATTAGAATCTATTATGTTGGTTTTATATTTATATTCTAATGTTGAAATGTTGAACAATATTTTAGACCTCCTCTCTAACTAAGGAAAAACAAAATTTTCATTCCTTACAAAAAAGTCCATTTTTTCAGATGTCAACAAGAATTTATGTGGCAGAAAATGTATTTTTAAACATTTCGTACATATGTATATCCGAAAGAAACGATCCAATATTAATTTTTATTTTTATACAAAATATATTGAATTTACACTGTAGCCTTACAATGTAACTTCCGGCCTATTTATTGGCCTCGCGATCGTTCGATCATTGCAATAAACATTAATAATATCTGTTGAAATATTAAATACTTTCTGTTTGTTTAATATTTCCGTGTATCTAAATATGAAATTAAACGAAAAATGTTTATATTTTAGTCATTGATTTAATAAATTAAACATTAATAATTTTGGCACGTAATTATTTACTAAATATTTAATCATTGACAAAAGTTGGGAGGAGAGAAAAACTTTATTTAACAATAGAAAATTTGAAATATTATGGTATTTATTTAACTATATATAAATATACATATATATATATTTATATATATACATATATATATAACCGGTTAGACGCTTTCTGTAATAATAATTGTTACAGCTATGGATCAGAGAAGACGGAAATATTCTTCTCTGTTTCAGGACAATAATTAATGAAGAGATAACATAACCGGTTATACACTTTCTTTAATAATTACTCTTATAGTTATGGAAATAAGTATATAACTATATATATTATATATAATATATATATATATATCTATATATATAAGGAAATACTCATCTCTGTTTTAGGACAATAATTAATGAAGAGACAACATAACCGGTTACACGCTTTCTTTAATAATTACTCTTATAGCTATGGATCAGAGAAGAAGGAAATATTCTTTGGAAATTTCTTCCGTTAAATGTCCATTGGATATAATGGCGATTGATATTAAAGCCATTTTCAATTTTTATTACACTATAAATTAGTTTTTGACAAGACAGAAAATGAATGTGTTAAAAATCTTGTCATGTTATACATGATGGGTTTACTTTTTGAATTCTAAATAAATCTGAATTCTCCTAGAACAGTGTGGTACTGGTATCTATCATTGGCTTTAAAGCATTACAAAAATCTTTGCAGTTGCCTCACCTATAAGTTGGTGTCGAATAGAAAACTTTTTACTTAGTACCTAAAAATAATTAGGAAAAACAAAAAATATAAATAAATAAATATTGAGCGGAGTTTTAATATCGTCTCAAGTGAATAAGTTTTTTATGGAAAAGTACCACATTCTACTGAAGTAGAGTGTGATGCTTCAGTAGAAAAAAATATTATTAAGGTCACACGCACACAAGAAAATCACCAAAATGCATAGAAATAGTTTGAAACATAAAATTTTCCATTACAAGTTCTTATCAACAAGAAAGAAACCGGGCCCTTGTAAAAATATTGCTGTGTTGTCTGTAAATTTACTAAAATATGTAATTTTTTAAACTTTGTAAATGAAATTTTATATCTTTTTTTTTTTACTTTTTAGTATAGAGTAACATATTTTATTTCAAGAAATATTAAAAGTGAAAAAATGAATATATACATATATATTATCGGATTAGATATAAATTCAATATAAATTTTCTTATTCAAACCACTTCAGTAGCACTATGCGTCGAAGAAGATTTTCTCTGCTATGATAGAGATATTCTCTGCTATGCGCTCTTAGGCAGATGGGTTACTTGGAGCCTAATTGACTACTCTCATTTCACAAAGGTTGAAAGAAGCATTTTGTAGATATTTTATTGTAGTTCATTCAGTTCGTAACAATAACATAAAATATGTAGACCTAGGTGCCTATCTTGTTAACGCCTCTTAGCAGGATCCAAAAAAGCGACCAACTTAGATCAACTTAATCTAAATGAATATTTAAATATTCTGTTGCATGAAAACGGTTAAAATTTAGATTTTGTTCTGTTTTTGTTTAAAACAAAAATGGGGCACCAGTACATTTTTTTTGCGAGCACACAATTCTTCTCGATGGAATATTAAAATATTTCGAAATATTGAACATATGTATAAAATTTGTGAAGTGATATGTTAAAGCCAAAGTCCTAAGACAATTCCAATCAGCTAAATTGGCTTAAAAAGAAAAATTCTGACGAAATATTTAGTCAAAATGGATCTGAATACCGATTCATTACTGACTTCTTATCTAGACATAATCGTATTAAATTTTGTCGTTCAAAGATGGTATTAAAGGGTGCGAAAAACTGTGGATTTAGTGAAGTACTGAATGATTTAATTACTTATTTATTTTATTGGATTATTTTGCGTTATGTCGAATTAAAAGAGACCTGTAAATTAAAACCAAATGATATTGTAAAATTCATCAATGGAATTATTGAATATTAGTATTCAGGTTAAAATGGAAAATATTTTCCAAAAATAGAGATTATACAGAAATTGAGATAGAGAGATATTTGAGGATAAGCTGAACATGGTTGATTACTTAGAGCACTTGTGAGTTCAACCTTATGATTAACGACTAATGCTTTACTTTTTCTTCTCATTAAGTAAATTGTCATCCTCGAAACACATTTATTTCAAACCTAAATCTTTTACAGCCCAAATGTCATAATTGTGAAGTACTGATGTGAAGTAATCACATAAAATATGAAGTTATAAGATGGATTTCAAAGTTAAAAGGAATTATTTAATAAAGGTATTTTTATTGAGGCCATACATCGGTTAGAAGGAAACTTGACTAATATACTGTAATAACATTGAGGTATCTAGACGTAAATAAGCAGAGTTATATTTATTGTATCTGAGTGACAATAAGTTTGTGTTGTCGGTACATAAGTAGGTATCGGTAATATGTTTTAAGTAACGTTTCAGTTGATGAACCATGTATATGGTGCTGACTGCTTATTCCATGGCAGACCATAACAGTGGTAACCGCGGCTCAAAAAAACTCTTACTCGTATCCCCGCAAATTCAATCAACACTGTTTATAAATTTACTATAGATTAGATAAAATCTTCATCGAACTTCATTGATCAAAAACATCAGTTAATTTCGACAGAACACTTGTTTGTGAAAGCTCTTACCTTATCGAAACAAGTCATTGCCAATAGATTGTCTCACTGCATATACATACATATGTATTTAAATATATTTTTGAAAAATCCTGCTCATTTCGGACTACTACTTATGTAAGTATCTATATACATTTGTATATCAAATATTTTATGAAAATATGTAAATAGAACTAGTACTCAGTTTAACAAACTGTTTACCTTCTTTCCTGACTCATAGTTATATAAAAATCTTGAAAACCCGAAGACAGACTAAGTTTCTTTATCTTTTCAGTAAAAATAGCAGTAAATTATAAATAATAAAAAGAATGTGAAATAAACAAAACAGAACAGAACCGAACAGAACATTTTCAATGACAAACGAAATAAACAAAAACACTTTGCATTTTTATATTTCGCAATTTTGCTGAAGCTTGCAATAATAAATGATTTATTTTAATTAAATATTTAAAAAAAATTATTAAAATGTTAAAAATCGTTACGAAACACTAAAAGACTGCACTGTCTCAGTTGATTGTCTGAGTAAATATATTTTATCAGTATTTCACAAAAATGGAGCAATCTACGAATATTTCCAAATTACTCATTTCCACTGCAATAAGCATATTTTGAATCTAAGAGAAACAAAGAGTGACTAATGCACATCTATTATTATTTATTATTCAAAATTTCGACTTCCCATCAATATTTGTTTTCAATATATCCACGGTGTTTCCATTAAATACTTCAATGCATTTAAAGCATAAAATTAAAATTATGACGATTAATATATTTGATCGAATAAGATGCATGCATATGTATGTATGTACAAGTGTTTCTATATGGATCAGATGGTAAACTTCTTGAACGAATATCTGCAAAATTAACTTGACTACTTAAATGAAATAAAACAAAATAATGATAGGGATTAACGCTACCAGTGAAGTATAATATTCTGCAAGCTTAACACATCTTCTGTGCTGTTACAGCCCCAAGGGGGAATAGGTGGAATATCATCTGTTATCTTAAGGTCAGAGCATCTTTCGTTGATGACTTCCTAATAACAGACAGAGGACAAATACT